ATAAACAAACGCCCATCCTTGGGTTGAAATGCACCGATGACAACAACATTTGCAGCACCTTCGACAACAACAAGATGTTCCCGTCCCGAAACACCAACATTTAACTTTTTATTTTCCCCGAATACCTTCACACAGACCTTTCATTTGTCCCTACCCCCGGTTCGCCCGGCAACACAACCAGCAGCTCTTGCGGGCTGGTCCAGTCCATCTGATCGAGCTGCTCGTACTCTGCAACATCATCCTCGCGAAATCCACCAATACTCACCCCCCCGCCCAAACCGACCACGCCAGGCAACATATCATCCTCATCATCGGATCGGTCGTCGTCGCTCTCCCCTTCTGTTGATTCTCCCCCACCTCTATCGAATAGCATGGCACTATCACAGGTCTCTTCCATGCAGCAAGCGCGTTTACATTTGCACAGCTCTGAGCAAATTGACCCTTTCAGTTTGCAGATGCAACTCGTGCATTGGCCCCTTCCCGGTACATCCGAACATCTACACTTCACCGTCTCAACCCCGCCCGGCCAGATGGTTACCTTCGGCTCTCTGCGCAACAGCATCTTACAACCACCGTCTATTTCTGGATCTTCCAAGTATCCCCTCATGTGCCACTCGGGTACTGCGATGGGATAGTTTCCAGAGGGTTCCGAACCTGCAGCACTAGCCGGCACAATCGAAAGCCAGTACTCTACCAGCCATTCCATCCGAAGCACACAGAGGTCGAGAACATCGTAGTTTGGGGCAGCCTCTCTGATTTTCCCATGGCCGTAAGCTGCTTCGGATGTACGTACGTGGATTGCATGAACCCATGCCTCCGTTTCATCAACCGCCCCGTTTCGCTTTCTTGGATCAACAATAGGCTCTACCTGGTGCCCGGGTGGATATAAAAACAAGCCTGGTGCTTTTTGAAGTACCCTAGGGCGACAAACTTGATCAACTCTTCCCTTTTCAATGCCACCCCGTCAAACGCTCCATCCGTTGCAAACTCACCCAGCGCTTTTAGAAACCGATGGTTCTCGGGGTTCTTGACATACTCCAAAAACGACTGGAACATAAAAAACGACGTAAAACCAAAAAAGGTCGGGGTGAAGTCCGTTCCGCAAAGCATGTAGGCGGCGATGACAGGCAAGCACTTCTGTAAGGGGGTAAACGAAGTTGGCCAACTCGTTAATCTCGTCAGCGCGTTAAATAGCTCAAGTACGTCGATGCAGGGAACGGCGGCTTGGTCGCATAAGCCGCTCTGCTGTCGCACCACTACACGCACGTTTCGAGTCCATGGATGCGCGTTAGGCCACGGATCAAACTTGGCCGAAAGGCTCGAGCCCTGCACGGCAAGATCAATGAAAACGTTGCCCTCAGATTTGTTGTCGATATTTTGAAAAGTGGTGGCAAAAATAAAACACACACACATATCACGACATGTTTCTACATGAAACACACCTTGTTGATGACGCTGCTCCTCTCGGCGCGCTCATCCATGCCTAAGCCACCACCACCACCCGCGGTCGTCGGGCGCCCATTCTTGCCCACGAGAACCCAGCCGTCTCCACCCTGCTTGACTGCGGCGGTCTTCTTGTCTGCGGAAGGCTGCTTGATGATGACGGGCTCCTCGGCTGCGGCGGCCTGCTTGACTGCGGCGGTCTTCTTGTCTGCGGAAGGCTGCTTGATGATGACGGGCTCCTCGGCTGCGGCGGCGGGGTCCCTGGTTGCGACAGAGTCATCGTGGGCGGCGGGCTTGTTGATCACGCCAGGATCCGTCGCTGCAGTGGGCTCCTTCGCTTCTGCGGACTCGTTGGGTTCGGCGGGCTCCTTCACTGCGACAGGCTCCTTGTCTGCAGCGGGCTCCTCGGGGGCGGTGGCCTCCTCCGGGACGGTGGGCTCCTTCGCTGCAGTGGGCTCCTCGGGGGCGGCGGGTCCCTCCGGGGCGGCGGGCTTTTTCCCCGCGACAGGCTTCTTGGGTGCGGCAGACTCCGTTGCTGCGACGGGCTCCTCGAGGGCAGCGGCCTCCCCTGGGGCGGTGGGCTCCTTCGCTACGCCGGGCTCCTTGGCTGCGGTGGGCTCCTTCGCTGCAACGGGCTCTTTGGAAGCCGGCTGGGGTTCAACCTTGAACACGGCCTCGAATTGCCCACATGGGTGCCATATCGCCATCGGGAAATGTGGCTGCAGGTCGTTCCCGCCGTAACACGGAACGAGTTCCCCCTCTTTCGTCGCCTTCACGAGCCTGAAGCTTTCTAGACCTGATACGACAGCCGCGGCCTCCATGTGTTTCCCGTCCCAATGTCCACCGTCGTGTTCCGCCACCTTTAACCATGTCTCCCTGTTCAAGATGAGTAGGAGAGGGTTGGACATCAATTCTTCTATGGGCCTCTCCTGAACTTGGACGGTCCCAAAGAGGAAGTCATCAGTAAATTGTCCATCCTCCACCGTGGGGTGGATCCGTGCGCGTCCGAGACTGGCTACATCGCGGCGAAGCTTTCGGATGTCAGCAAGTTGTTGCCGTTCCCCGCGGGATGTTCCGGGGGTAGCCCCGGCCTCGATCCGACGAAGATCGATGATGGATTGCGGACCACAATCTCCCCTGGCAGCGTTAGGCCACGGATTGAAACGCGTGCCATCCCTCAGACGATACATTTTTCACCTGTCATAGTGCAAATAAAAACAAAAAAGTGAGGGTCATGATTAGAAACTAGCTGCTTTACTAATAAAATGAACCCACATCCCAGTTGAAGGGTATTATGTTAAGTTAGGGCCGCCGTCGAACGGAAGAGCTACAGCAGTATATATGTAGAAATGGTGTGCATGATTGACTTTGTCCTGCGAGCAAGAAATTCAAATCTACGAAGACACCCACAGCAGTACGGCATGCACAAGGTAGCTTTGTGCAAAGTTGTACAGAGTACGAGCTACATCTAGGTTGCCAAAAGCAGCAAAATATATATGCAGTAGTATTGCAGACAAAGATGGACATCCCCACTCATTGGCACGGTGGACTTATAGTTGTCTCGCGACAGGCAGCGTACCATTCGACCGTTGCAAAATTCAAATTCAATTTCAAAGATCATGCTACAGCAGTATTTTGGCGTTGTTGGCGCACAAAGGGCTGCAGTGAGCATGTTGGATAGGAGCAAAACTTTAGGTTGTCACACATCAGTACGCGAGGTGCTTGGCTCAAAGCTGCGACCCATACAGCAGCAGTAGCAAGGGTCTCCGGGGAGCTTTCGCGCCAGCGACACATGAGGTAGTCTACGCGGACACAGCAGCAGCAGTGCGCGTATCAGCATTTCACATAATAATTCGAACGACCCTCCGAGCCTCTGGCACTAGAACCACCACCCTAGCACTGCCTCCATGTCTCCCTCCCACCTGAGTCCAGAAGATCCCGCTTCCGACCCACGGCCGGCGTACAGGACGTCCTCTCAGAGCAGGTCAAGATCGAGCGGCGCAACCAGATAACGGAAGATACCACACTCCCGGACTGAGCTTTACGCCAAAGTTGTGCTCTGAGCTTTACGCCAAATCGGCCGACCGTTGGAGGGTGTACTCCTTGGTGGACGAGGTGTCGAAAACACCCTGGTAAAAATTCGGATCAGCACTACAGCGGGAGATGTTGCAGACTTTCTGTCATTTCCTATGGCTAAGAAAGATTCGGGGGGGGGGGGGGGTAGGGCTTTTTTTGGACGTAAAAAACACCGAAAAACGCTGTACGGAGCCCCGTGGTGTGTAACAAATAGGACGAATACACACACACCGTCAAACTCTCGCCGAAAAAACAAAACACACTGAGAGACAGACACTGTTAGAGCGACTTTGTCGTCGTCAAACTCTCGCGGGAAAAAAAAACGATGGTGCATGACAGGCACTGTGAAGCTGAAACACATCACATGTGCCAGCCAAACATAGCACCATGCATCCATTCGACTGATTGGTGTTGGTTTCTATGTACAGTCTAGTCTGCGTCAGTAACACCACCAATTTGGTCTGCGCCAAAAAAAGGAACAAAAGTGCGCATACTGTAGGCAAAGAAATCAATAGGCATAGACTAGTGGGACCCTGCCGCTGCGCCGAATCTCGCTTGCTTCCGGATCGACCACAACAGACCTGCTGCTGCCTATGACACAGCACGGCGTGCTTCCACGTACGTACGCACGCATCGCGCGTCTTTCGTGTTTGAAGGCACATTTATTTATTTCTCCGCGAGCAAGCGGTGATACAGCAGCAAGTATTTCTTCTGTAGCCATTACTAGCATCGACCGACCCGGCTCAACCCGCTGACCAATGAAAATAGACAGTCATTCGGCGCGGCAGACTACAGAGAATATCGCGTCTCCTTCTATAGGCCATGGTCGTGGACACACAGCAGTGAGGGGGCGTCAGTCATGGGAGAGCCTAGACTCTACTATTCTCCGGATGAAGACGGAGACGGGGCTGTAGCACATGGCGAGAAATGCAGGTGAAGTACTTGTACCGAGGCTTCTGCTTTCGAGACTAACTCGTTCGTGTGTGTTGGTTTCGGCCCCGTTCGCTTGGCATGCATGCATGCTTGTGCTGCTTCCATCAGATATCCTACAGTACACATACATACACACATACGCCTCGACTTCATCCTCATGCGTCAGACGGACCGGCGTTTCGTGCGTAATGTCTCCGTCAAACGTGTCGACTTTAATGACTCTGACGACAACCTCGTACTTACGACTGTCCGCCTGCCCCCCCGTGTCGCACCCAACCGACGAGTGCCGGGGAACAGCGGAAGCAGCCGGATCCGTATCGACCTCGAGCGGTTGAGGAAGAACAAACACCTACAGGTCGCCTTCCAAAACAGGGCCTCCAGCCGCCCTCCGCCCACGGCGCTCAGGCGGCCAACGGGAGAGACCGCCGCCGAGCTGACGGCTACGATGATGTCGGCCGCTGCTGAGACCGCGCCGCTGGCGAGGTGCGCACGAGGGCAGAGAGGCTGGTACACGAGCGAAGCGCAGCACGAGATCTCCGAAGCGTCAAAAGAGATTAAGGCGGCCCAGCAGCAACTGCGTGGGGCGTCAAAGAACAGCGCCTTCGAGGCGACCCTGAAGGCGATGCTCAAGGCGGCGCGGAAGAAGCGCAGCATCGCGAGGTGGAGAGCACTGGAAACGTTCTTCGAGGGCTATGTACGGCAGCTCGAGAAGAAGAGCCGCGAGGGGGATCAGGAAGGTTTCTACAGGCACCTGAAGATGATCGACGTCGAAGGTAAGAGGTCGTCCACCTCTCAGAACATCAAGGACGAGGACGGCAAGGTCCTTCGGGACCCCACGTTTATTCGCCAACGGTGGGCACGGTGGTTCCACAAGCTTCTCAACACCAAGTCGCCGACCATCGACCTGCATGCGGCTGACAAGGTCAAGCGGTGGCCCACGTGCGTGCCACTAGACGACAACCCATCTCTACTTGAGGTTGAGGTAGCGGTACGGGAAATGGCCAACAGAAAGGCCGTCGGGCCGGACGACCTACCGGCTGAGCTGATCAAGCTTTTCCTGGGCGGCGATCAAGGTCTCCTCCG